TATATATATATAGAGAGAGAGAGAGAGAGCGAGAGCGAGAGCGAGAGCGAGAGAGAGAGAGAGAGAGAGAGAGAGCGAGAGCGAGAGCGAGAGCGAGAGCGAGAGATAGAGAGAGAGAGAGAGAGAGAGAGAAGTAAAATGCCTATTAATTACCCTTTTAATTTACCTATTATTTGAATATGTTATATATATATATATAAAACATAATCTAACCATAGGTGGACAGTATCGAAAACTAGTGTCATACATAGACATTTTCCATACGCTAATATATCTACAGTACTGCACAGTAACACAAATGCAATTTCTGGAAATAGTACATCTATATTAGTGCTTTTAGGGGGTATATAGACAGATATTTGTTAATATTTAACTATTCAAAGATAGATATACACATATACGTCTGCTTAAGTCTTTCTACCTAAGGCACTTAAGGCTACTGACTGTCTACTTAAGGACTGATTATACATACGGACGTATATATGACACTTTTAGAAAATGTGTTCTTAACAACACATTTAAGCTTTATCATATTTAAAAATGTTGTTACATTTCTGTGCATAATGTGGCATGTTCGTGCTGTCATGTCATATTCTCGCATTGTGCTAAGTTTTTCTCTCCTTTTTGTGTGTTTTTACAGGTACATGCAATCCCACTGCGTTCCAGTTGGGTCATGACCTGTGCCTATGCTCCGTCAGGCAGTTTTGTAGCGTGTGGAGGTAGGTGAACGTGGGCAGGTGTCGGAAGTGTGGTGGGGAGGGGGGAGGTGCGAAGGTTTGGGTTGACATGGGAGAGAGATCAACATCCTCTCTGTCTACACGCGCGCACGGATGCGGGGGAAGACAGCTTGTGTGTGTGTGTGCGTGCGAGCGTGTGCGTCCGTGTGTGTGTGCGCGTGTGTGCGTGCGAGCGTGTGCCTGTGCGTGTGCGTGTGTGTGTGTGCGCGTGTGTGCGTGTTCGTGTGCCTGTGTGTGTGCGCGTGTGTGCGTGTTCGTGTGCGTGTGCCTGTGTGTGTGTGTGTGTGTATGCATGCGCGCTTGCACGAGGTACAGTGAAGAGTTACGTTAACCCCGTACAACTTCTCGGAAGACGGAGGTGAATGCACCGTGCGTGCTGCCACCTGGCAGACAGGATAGAAAGCTCTGTGCGAGGCCACAGCCAGCAGACGCCTGCGTAGCTGCGCCGCGTCTCCGGGGCCGACCGTCATAATGGCGGCGCAGAAACGAGACGGCACGTTCGCAAGATGTTAGGGCGGTGTTGCTGCGCGCATAGATGGACGGTGTTGTAAACATTCGCCGCAGAGTAGCGCACCCTAACAGGGGGGGGGGGGGTAGGCATGGAGGAAGCCGCGGCAATGCTACGTGGGCCTGCCGTGGGTGGCGTAGCCGGTACAGTAAACTCACGTGCGCACGCGTGCGTGCGTGCGTGCGTGCGTGCGTTTGCTGTGAGGTGCGGCGTGTGGGATCGAGGGATAGCTGGTGATATCCACGGCTTGTCACATCCACGTCTGGTGACATCCTCACCTGGTGTCGTCCACAACGTCCGATGACATCCACAGTTGACGCTGGTCTCTAGAGCTAGCTTGCAGCCGTTGCCATTGGTCACTCGCCAAACGACAAGCACACCGGCACCTATCGCCGGCCGTCTTGATCCTTACATCTCTTCAATTCTCATCTCTCCTCGTATCTTCGCGTCACTTCACGTCTCTTCCGGTATCTCTCTCGTCTCATCGCGTCTCTCTCTCTCTCTTCTCTCCGCACAGGTCTGGATAACATATGTTCCATCTACAGTTTGAAAACGAGAGAAGGCAACGTGCGAGTGAGCCGGGAGCTACCGGGCCACACCGGCTACCTGTCCTGCTGCAGGTTCCTCGACGACAACCAGATAGTCACCAGTTCAGGAGACATGTCGTGGTGAGTACATACTCATATCTAACACCAGCTAGTCAAAGATCAAACAATAAGTAGTCACAGATCTAACACTAGCTAGTCACAGATCTAACACTAGCTAGTCACAGATCAAACACTAGCTAGTCACAGATCAAACACCAGCTAGTCACAGATCTGACACTAGCTAGTCACAGATCAAACAATAGGTAGTCACAGATATAACGACAACCAGATAGTCACCAGTTCAGGAGACATGTCGTGGTGAGTGCCATTCCCCTACTCACAGATCTAACACCAGCTAGTCACAGATCTAATGCTAGCTGCTCACAGATCTAACACTAGTAGCTGCTCACAGATCTAACACCAGCTAGTCACAGATCTAACACTAGCTAGTCACAGATCTAACACCAGCTACTCACAGATCTAACACTAGTAGCTGCTCACAGATCTAACACCAGCTAGTCACAGATCTAACACTAGCTAGTCACAGATCTAACACCAGCTACTCACAGA